GAAAAAACATTATCTTCCTATACAATTTGTTAAAACTTCCCAGTTTCTTTCTTTAGTACATAAATTATAACATTAACAGAATTGATTCCCAATGTGGTAGCCAGCCTCTGAGATCTGTACCTTCTCACAATCATTTCCCTTGTTTACAATCTTCCCTTAATGAATCAGGGCCAGTCCTGGGTGACCTGAAGAATCCAGTGCAAGTGATGCTGTGTGGCTGCTGAGACTATGCCATGTGAGGCCTTGCAGCTTTCACTCTGGTCTCTTGGAACACTCACTCTTGGAGCCCTGTGCAAAATATATGGAATCTAATGATCCTAACACCACTTTCCTGGAGAGACTGCATGGAAAGACCTTGAGACTTCATGTAGAATGATTCCTGGCCAGCTTCCCAGTCATTTGAGTTACCCCAGCTGAGGCTTCAGATATACTTTGGAATAGAATTGAGTTGTCCCCACCAAGCCCTGTGTAAAATGCAGATTCAGGAGTGAACTAATAAATAATCATTGTTTTAAGTCATTAAGTTTCAGGTGGTTTGTTATACAGCAATAGATAAACTGAAACACTCCTCCCCTTCCTTCTTCCACTTGATGTCAAATGTTTCCTTAGGTGAGAGCAGAGTGAGCAAGGATAGGTCAAGTCAACTCAAGCAGAGAGAGTTTTGCAGCCATCATTGCTGGGGTAATTGATTTATTAAGGATGTAGAGATATACCACTTCAGGACTGTCTACTTCTCAGGAAGTAACTACATCACTTCTGTGGTCAAGACATAGGACACAGGGAACCAGCAGTTAGCATAATGGTTATATCACTGGATTCCCATGTAGTCGACCGCGGTTCATGTCCCGGACCCAGTGGCTTAGAACTCATGCCAGGCGCATGTGCGTGCGTGCCCAAGATCCCGAGAGGAGAACGGAGGAGGAGGGAGTGCGGCGTGACCATCCCCCCCTGGGGGGTGATTTCTCGCTTTCTGTCTCTATGTCTCTCTCGGTCTGTCTGGCGAGCGCACGCACCCTATAGCAAAAACCTCTCAAAAAAAAAAAAAAAAAGACATAGGACACAGAGTTAGATGATAGCACAGTGGTAACGGGTGGTACTCTGTGAGACTGACCCACATGGTGAGATTCCAGGTTTGTGTCCAGACACCTTCTTGAGTATGCCAGGCATCCCATGCCCATTATCCAAGACTGGCTGAGGCTGGGATAGACTGTGGGATCAAGGCACTGTGCGTGGGGTGTAAAGGCCCTGTTGGGGGGGGGGGTGCTGTCTCTCTGTCACTGTCTCTTTCACTCATAGTAGAGTTAAAACTATATTGCACCCAGAACCATCCCTGGAGCTTATGGCCAGATGTAAACCCAACAATTTGATATAGGTGAATATAGACATTGGAACCAGCAGTTGGCATAATGGCTACATAACTGGGCTCCCA